AGTCTGGTGGGCATATTTTACATTCATTCATCTTAGTTTCAGGGATTTTTGTTCCCTCTTTGCGTTGCTGGAGATGGAACCCAGGACCTCATGCACGTTACACAAATGCATTGCCACCGACCAGTGCTCCAGACCTCATGGGACCCTTTTTCTTGATGAAGGAGTTTCGTTTTTAAGCCACAAACCTTGATAAATGAGATAATCTACTACTAGAAATTGTTCTTCACCTGATTTTAATTTCTGCTTAAGATGACAGGCTCCAGCGTTCGATGGTGAAAATGTTAGTTGTCTCTCTTTTTTTTTTTTTTGTCCTTTTCTTTTTTATCGGTACCGGGAATCAAACTCACGACTGTCTGCTTGCAAGGCAGGCGCTTATGCCGCTGAGCTAAATCCCCAACCCCCTGTTAGTTGCCTCTGTTAGCTTTCCTTTATTACCTGAGCAAAAGTGACTTCTGTTTCTTTTAGGTTGTTACACTTTGCTGACAGTCTGACTGTGTTTCATAACTAGCTATTGTGGTGGTCGTGGTGGTGGTATGTGTATGTTAGTTATGAGAAACATCTTTTTTGTCTTTTTGTATTAAGGCTGATTGTATATTTCTTGTCTCTGCAATCTCTAGACCATCAGAGCATACCGTCTCCTTTGTGATATATTTTTAGGCCTTTAGCTCAAATAGTAACCCTTAGATTAACCAAATAACCTTTGTTCTGCTCACAATCCTGTGTCCTACCCTCTTGTCATCCTAGTGGCCTTCTGTATCCATAGTGTCTTCATTTGTGTGCACACAAACATCAGTAGCCTGAATTCCTGTCTGGTTCCAGAACCATAGAAATCACAGAGAATGATTTCCAGTGATTGCTGTGCATTTAGGGTCACCCAAAGATTTCCATGTTGGGGTCCCATGAGGATGTCTTGATTCATTCTGTTTGAGGCAAGGCTCAAACACCCAGTCCTTTTGAAAACACCCTAGGTGGTTCTAATGTGCAATAGGGTGAAACTATCTTTCACAGAGGCTGCACAGGACTTTCTTGTAAGTATCTTCAAACAAGTTGAAAGCCTTGACTGCTATCTCTAAACTCACCTGGCTCTCAAGATCCTGCTCCGTGACCCAGCTCTTCAAAGCCATGAAAGTTCCTGCAAGTTCACTGCGCTTGTTATCCCCAGGCCTTAATAGATGAGAAACTTGCTTCACCCTTGAGGTGTAATAAAAAAGGCAGATCTTTTGTACTTGCTGTCACCCCGAAGTTAGTGGGAGGCACACCTGCCTCTTTAGTATCTCTAGGATGTCTTAAGGGACTCTTTGCATGAGTTGTCAGCAGTGTGTCTTCCTGAGTATTGCACTGGACGTACTGTCCAGCCCTGTCAGTTTCTCAAGCGTTTGTCAGTGACATGGACCAATTTTCTGTGCTTTCAAGGAAGTAACCTTTCTTGCTCATGTGGCAAGAAGGGGAGGACAAGTCCCAGCCAGAGGCGCTGTTGCAATGATTGGTAATTTTCCAGACCTCATAAAATGCTGTTAACAATGGGAATATGAGAGCCAAAGAGGTCTATTGTTTCAAAATCTGACTCACATTTGAACAATTATGATCAGCCATGATCTGATTAGCACCAAAATACCTACTATTAAGATTCTAATCTGTGAGTGGGAGAAAAGAAAATACAGATATCGATTTTAAAAGGGATCAGGTATGTACTGTCTGTGTTTGTGATCATCTTAAGAAATAAGGAGCATTGATAGGGAGACAAACCCAGAGTCCCAACTCTGACCTGTAGGCTGGCAACCCAGTCCAAGAGATTTGTTCCTATTAAATGCAGGATTACAATACCTACCTCAAAGGCTTTGAGGAAGGACTAAATCAGATAATGTGTGTGAAAGTTTCTTTGCAAGCTCCAAAGCACTCTATAATTATTAGCTATGACTAGCTGTTTGAGAAACTGGCTTTCTTAATGAGCTGCTTAATTAACCTTCATGACTGTTCACCTCCTGGAGGCCATTCCAGGCTGGAAATGGGTACAGGGCCTGTGCAGGGGTGTCACCCTTGTCCACAACCTCATGCTTTCTTTCTGAGCCGCGGTTAAGCCCAGAAGTTTTCTGAGTTCGAAGAAGGTAGCATGATCAGAGAACGGAAGTGAATGGGGGTCCAGGAAGCAGATGGGAAGAGCTTTGTTGTGGGGCAGGGATGGTCGGAGAAGCCCAGCTCCAGGGAATTAAAGGGACTTAACTGCAGTCACCTAGAAGGTTGTATGCCAAGCTTTCATACTTCTCAGGTCATGCTGAGCAAGATTCTCTGCTGGACCAAACTGTAGTTTGGCTCCTTCCTGAAACTGCTCCTAGGCCCATCTGTACTTTTCCTTGTAAAATCCAGTTTTAGCAAAGCACAATGCTAAGCCCATTTAGCAAGACTCCTTACTTACCTCCCAGCCGTCTAATAATCCTCAAAGTCTGATGAGGTTCCTTATCTTCCAGCATCCCCCAAGTGCTATCTGGTCACCCTTGCCTGCATTCAAGAATCCTGTTAGGTGAGATTCACCAGAATTCCCCTTGTATGTGATATTTCCTCCTGGTGACTTTCCATCCATTAACCCCATCCTCTCCTAATTGCCTTTGCTGTATTTGGGGTGAACCCCGGCCTCTGTCCCTCACTGCAGGACTGTCACAGTGGTTTCTGTTCCCTGTCATGTTGGGATTGAATAAAGCCGTTATTACTGTGATTTAACTAATACATTAAGCCATTATTATTATTTTTTTTAACAGAGGGATCTCTAGGAGTGTGCTGGGGAGATTCCAGGCTCTGTCTGAGCCCAATACTGAGTAGATGAGCCCAGAATTCCTGGGGAAAGGACTCAGGTGGTTTTTGATGATAGAGAATCCAACATGTATCTCATTTCTTGCCTACTCATTGTCATAGCCAAGTGGAGGGGAGAGTGAGCCCTGTACTGGAGAGAGGCCCAGAAAACAGTTTGTCCCTTGGCCCCATTATTTTGCTGATACTCTTAAGAAAGCCCAGCGGCTGAGTCCTGTCTCATACATGTAGAAGTGCTCTGGACCATGAAGGGGAAACATGGTGTCCTCCTCTAGAGGAAATGCTGCAGACTGGCTTGGGTGACTAACAGGTGATCAAACAGAAGTTTGTATGATGACCGAGTGCCCGTGGCCACTTTATAACCTTATTACATGCTTTCTCCATTTGCAATCACCAGTTGAGCCTTTCTGTTAAGTTGCCATGAGACTCTTCTGCAGGACTGTTGAGGGAATGTGAGCAGCAGGGCTCAGAGAAGATTGTAGACCCCAGTCTGAGGTCAGGTGCCATGATCCTGTGTGCAAATGTTGCTTTCTTATACCCTCGTAGCAATCCTGTTAACAGAAGACAGTATTGATAACATTTTTCTATTGCTAATGAGGTACCAGCCGAGGCACCAAGATGGGCTTCACATTCCTCTCAAAAGCCAGAGGAGGAGGATACCATCTCTGCTCTCTCACTGTTCAGATGAGATGGCTGCAGCATGGACAGGACAATGACCTGTTCAGAGTCACACAACTCAGTAAATGTACTAAGTGTCACACCCAGTGGGAATTTGAGGGCAGACTGTTTTCGAAGACAGACCCCTACATTCACCCATCTGCAGGGGCCCCGGAGACCTTTGGGGGTTGGATTTCCTCCAGGCATGGTGATAACACTCTCAGATAGCTTAACACAGGGGAGAAGCTTGGCCTTTATCTAAGCTGACCTGCTTTTTAGAAAATTCGAAATAAGTGGAGAGCTCTCTTTAAGCCTTGATCACATTAGCCTGATGGCACTGCTACTTTAAGTGGCTGGTGGGCAAAGTGGGTCAATCCAGCTTTAGTGGTGCAGGTGCTGCCCAGGAGTCTTTCGGAGGACAAATCGCTCTTCCTCTAGACTCCCTGTCACCAGTGTCCTGCACAACGGTGCCTGCTGTCTCCAGGGAATTGTCCTGGCTGGCTCATGTGATAAATAGTTTACATCGTAATTACTGTATATGTGCTCACATTACAGTTGTAGTGGATTAGGATGGTTTGAAGCTGCAAGTTTAGAATGTCCCAGTAAGAAGTAAATATTTGGTTAAAGATGATGTGGGCGTTGTCTCTTTATGTCATTGTCAAGGCATTTCATTGTCATTCTATTTCCTTCTCCCCCCTCGTGACTTGATATCTTGCAATCAAAGTCTCACATTATTAATTCATGTAATCACTGTAATTATGATATACTACCACAAAACTATCTTTCTGGTCCAAATACTATGACTCGCGTGTCTAGTGTAGGTTGTTAACTGTAACCTACAAAAGCCCACTAGTTTTGTTTAGTGCTGGCACAGGTATTTTCCAAGTCATCATTACTGTTTAATGGACTATAAAATAGTTCAGGAAATGTCTAGAGCTGTATCTTGTGAATTTCTCTGTGTGTGTTTGTACCTGAATGCACCAGAGTTTGTGGGGCTATATTGCTTTTTGAAGAAATGGCATTTTGTTAGTTGGGCCCTGTGGTAGAAAGTTTGTGCAATCTGGCTGGATCAGGGGGATGTTTGCTTTCTGGTACCCACAGCGTGTTCGCCTGGACCTATGAAAGTCGTATGCACAGCGAAATCTGAGATGTAGGTGCTGTGTTCAGGGAAGGCACATATCCAGACGCCTAAGTCATTTGTGTTTTGACATTATATGTTTGAGGCAATCCAAAACCTTGATACAATCATACCCTAAATTAAATTTAAGAAGAAAGGTGACACTCCAGGATCTTAGAGAACCATCTCTGGCTGTGTTACCTTCCACGCAGTATCCTGACATTGGAGGCAGATAGGGTTAGGCTGTCACACTTTCTATGGGACGTTAATGTACTTCCAACTCCAAAATTCTGCTTGTATTTCTATATGTCTCTACAGCACTTCTCAGTAATAAGAAGAAACCAGGATTCAGTGTTGACCTCGAGAGGAGCAGAGAAAGAGGGATCACTTACTGACCCCAGACTCTCTTATTTTCTATCCTCAGGGACCTGATGCCCAGGACGCTGGAGGGTCAGATCACCATGGAGAAGACGCCCAGCTACTTCGTCACGCGCGAGGCGCCCGCGCGCATCTCGGCCATGTCCAAGGACACCAAGCTCATCGTGGTGGTGCGGGACCCGGTGACCAGGGCCATCTCGGACTACACGCAGACGCTGTCCAAGCGGCCGGACATCCCCACCTTCGAGAGCCTGACGTTCAGAAACAGGAGCGCGGGCCTGATCGACACGTCGTGGAGCGCCATCCAGATCGGCATCTACGCCAAGCACCTGGAGCACTGGCTGCGCCACTTCCCCGCGCGCCAGATGCTCTTCGTGAGCGGAGAGCGGCTCATCCGCGACCCGGCCGGCGAGCTGGGCCGCGTGCAGGACTTCCTGGGCCTCAAGCGCATCATCACGGACAAGCACTTCTACTTCAACAAGACCAAGGGCTTCCCCTGCCTCAAGAAGGCGGAGGGCAGCAGCAAACCCCACTGCCTGGGCAAAACCAAGGGCAGGATCCACCCCGAGATCGACCCCGAGGTGGTGCAGAGACTGCGCGAATTCTACCGGCCCTTCAACCTCAAGTTCTACCAGATGACCGGGCACGACTTTGGCTGGGACTGAATGCATCCTGGTTCTGTTTATGTGACTTATATATTGAGAGATTATATGTATGTAAAATGTACAGAAATCTATTTTATAATAATTTATTTTTAATTCATAAGCAATTAATTCACTAAGCTGCCTAGCCACACTCTTTAGAGAGTTCGCCTCATGATCTGTTAACATTCCAAAGTGTTTAATTCTGATGTTTTGTGCTATGCCTCACAATGGATGGTGCTTCCATTTCCCCCCTTCCTTCCCTATTGTATTTAAAAAAACAGAAAAGCACAACTTGAGATTTTCGTTGTTACGGGTATTCAGCCTTCAATTGCTGCCCCAGTTCACGGTTGCTGTGTGTCTGTCTGTCTCGGTTCCCACGTTCTGGCTTCCAGTCTCTTCCTGCTTGAGCACTGAGCTGCCCCCACAGCGCTGTATTCTGAAGGTCAGGCCTCACATGGCAGCTTTCTTAGCTGTGTGTAGTGATTTCTAAGGGTGTAGACGCCAAACCACCATGCTGAAGGTTTTCCTCACCTCCACTAAGCATGTGGGGTATCACCACCTTCGCAGGGACAGCCACATCCTTTTAGAGTTTGAATGACAGGGTCCATTTCTTTTAGCCTTTGGCGTTGAAGGGTGGTCCATAGTCCCTTTCTGCCCCATTCCTTGGTCCAGTAACAGCTTGGAGTGTGTGCAAATGTTAGCCCCTCTTGCCCAGATCACATGCCTGGGTGCTGCTTTAGCAATAAAGATGACCTTTTCTAGCTTGCATAGGTGCACACTGGGCTCTTTTCTCCGGGAAGACAGTTTTGCTGTGACACACCAAAGAATTCCATACGCTTGCAGAGCCACTGGCACAAACCCAAGACCCGTGGAGGTCACAATGTCGAGACCCCTGGAGGTCAGGTGCATCCTTTGCCATGTGCATCTACCAAGCTGGTAGGGCTGGTCACTGCTGGCCTGTAGGATCACAGCCTCCCAAGGGAGAAAAGACAAAGACTCAGAATTGAGAGGCAGCCTAGCAGAGGAACAAATTCCCTGCATCCCTGTTCTAGAAATTCTTAGCTCATCTCAGAAGGACCGTATAGTCTGTAGATAATTCAAACAGCAAGAACTAGGAGTGGCCCACATTGAAAAAAGGTGGTGCCATCTCCTGTAGGTACTTGGGCAGCCAGTTTCAGCCAGGTCTTGGCAGAAACATTCCCAGCATTGCTACTGCTGTGCAGACGGCTTTTGTCATCTGTCTGTGCTGCAAGTGCCAATATGGATCATTTATAATGAACAGCTGGTGGCAACCGGGTAACCGTGTGGTGACATCACATAATGATATATTTAGTTAATCTTCTGTTTGCTACACTAGCATCCTTCTATCACAAGAAAATTGGTTTTTGAGTTATACTTTCCTCAAGGAATACGTAGGAAGATATACTGATTGTCAAAGTGGTTGAATTGTGATATTTACAAAGAATGGTTTTGTCTGTTTTATGGGATAACTTGACTGACTGGATAAGAAACGTTGTACGAAAAGAGGAGAGAATAATTTATATATAGAAACTAATCCGGAGGCGTTACTGGTCTTTCAAGTGACAATTTGCTAGTTTAACTTGTGTTTGTCCACAAATTGTAACCCAGCTCTTAGCAGCAAAAATATTTGGGGAGGCTGAGTTTAGGATCGAAGGTGATTAGAGGCACAGTGTTGGCCTTAGATGAAATATTCCAATTTATAGAATTTTTTTATTGCCTCTGCAAAATGATGTGGAACCTACACTTAGTACAACACGATAATCATGGCATGATTCTCAACTCGTCTGTGTCAATAAGGGTGTTAATTGGCTGTGCGTTTTCTGTCTGGAAGGCTCACTGGCAATCAGCGTGCAAACACCTCCATGAAGTTACAGCATAACCTTGCTTGAGGTAATGTGGTATCCAAGACCTTTACCACGTCTTGCCCTGTTGACTTTCTGGCTGCTCTCAGGGTGTAACATGACTCATAATATAGAATCGCAGAATCAGTTCAGAGAAAGCTATGTAACAAAATCATAGGACAGCGTGTGTGAGCTTTTCTTCCCCTTTAGGTCTCTGACCTTCCAAGCTGGACAGTTTTTGATTGTTTATTCCCAGCTTGAAACAGGAAATTTTCAGATAGGAAGGTCATTTAGTCATGAACACTGAAGTGGGTCAAAATTTTATTCTAGGTCAAGTCCTTGAATTCAAACAGATGTTGCTAATTAGCACGGATGGACTAGGACAGATTTTTCCAAGTAAGACAAATAAATAAAAAAATCACACGCATCTCTTAGAAGGCTCTGAAGGCTTACGGCTCCTGACTGATCTGAATGCTGCGTCTGCTCCAAAGTTACACCTTCTCGTGTGATGGTTATTGTAGCCTTTCATGTCATCTTCTTGGGGAGATAGGCAGCCCAGAAAACTGAACGTGGGTTTCTTCCTCTGTAGCCATCTACAAGATCATCAAGTTTTAACATTTGAGCTGTTAGAAGCCAACCCCGTGTCATATTCTGGCAACTCGTTCCAACACATGTTTTAGGTTTCTTTTAGGAAGTACAAAAGGCAAACCTCTGGTATTTACTACAGTGCTTTATTCTCAGTTTGGTTTCTTTCTTCATTTAATAGTAATAAAAAAATGGAGATATCCATTGACTGTTTGCTTTGAGATGTTTGTGTGCAGCTATCTGTTAACTGGATAGGTAATGCCTGCAAAGTTATTTTCAGACAGTGTAATAAATTCTTAACTGGATGATTGAGGAGAAGAAGTTGTCTTATTGGTGCGATTCTCTTTGTGAGTCATTTTGAGTGGCGGACAAGTTTAGACCTTTGGAGAAACACAGTTGCAGATGCTGTGAGGGCTTTTTGGTAAAAAAAGAAAATAGATGTTTCTAAGGAGTTCAGTTTATCGGGAAGAATGGTTCATTCTGTTGAAAGATGTGCTTAGATTTTTTTTTCACTTTTGTAACATTAATTTATGCCTGAGTTTCATTCAGCCCCATCATCTAAAACACTGTGCAAATTCTGGCAGTGTCTTCTGTAACCTGGGTTTAGAATAGCCGATATGTACAAAAAATTAAATCAAGTATTTTGTCCTATGTATAACACAAATTAATTTTACACAGAGAAAGACGTTTCTAGGAAAATGAAATTCTGGTAATTCATACTATTTCTTTGTATGAACAAATAAAATCTATTTTACCAACTTGTGGGTGCTTCTATGTTTTACTGTGTATTGCAGATACAGAAGGTTGTAATATTTTATTTAGTAAGTAGTTATGTTATCAGGTGGTTCCTCTAGAAATGGCTCACCCATTAAATGTATTCCGGGTTCTTCTGGCCTTGAACAAGGAATTGGATGAGACAAGCCAAAAACAGTGCCAAAAGTTTATTTGAAAAGTGAGGGGTGAAGCAGTTATGGGAAGAACTGGTGCTTTAGAATGAACTTGGGCTGATGAAATGGAGAAAAACAAAGATGCACTGTGAGACGTGCAGTGAGCCACCAGGAGGAGTCATGAACTGGACTCCTTGTAGCATCTCGCCTTTGGGGGGAGCTTGGGAGAAGTTCCACAGACGGGGTCCTGGGAATTATTTGGTGCTGTCCTGGGACCTTGTAATGGACAGGTCCCCCTTATTTCCCCAGCCAGCTTTGCCACATCCTGCCTCTTGTATCGGTTACACAAGTATATGCACAAAAAGTCATTGTAAGGTGTAGTTTTTAGATTTTTAGAAGGTCCAATCCAAAAGCCAATGAATCCACAAGTATTTGGAATAAACTTTTGGGAAATGGCTATGGAGGTAAAAGAGGGAGAGAGAGACCCTACGCCCTGGAAGGGCTAACCCTCCACCCCAATGTGTAGTCCAGTAATATCTCTGTCACACACACAGGTCAAGGCAGGTGGCTATGAGCTGGCCACAACCATGACAGGTTGAGTGATACATTTGGCTGGGTGAATTTGTACAGCAGCACCACAGAGTGTTTGTTTCTCTATGTAAACCATTTTCTGTGAGCAAAACACAGGCACTAGGCATGGCAATCCATATTTTTAGTTTGTTGCAAACTACCTTCTGTTTCCTTTAGACATGGCACCTGGCCTACATTATCACTACTTGCTACAAATATTTGTGTTACTCTTCTTTGACTTAATTTTAGAAGGAAACTTGTAGTTTTGAGTGAGATACTATAATTTCTTGCCATAATAAGGAAGTAATCATAAAAAGCACAGTGAAAACAAAGAAATGCTGTGAGTTTCTAGCTAGATAGTGTGTAAGGAAGGTCATAGCAGTTCTTTGCCTTGGGCTCAGTGCTTCTGGCTGGCAAGACCGACTGAGCTTTGTGTCTTGCCGTGAAGAATGAAAGAGAATTGAAGACGGAAAACCAGTACAATGTATTTAGTGTTGAGCCCATGCATACATTAAACACTGGAGTCCTTTCTTCCCAGGCCTCTCCTGTAGCACTCAGTTGCCTTAGACTTTGGGAAACACGGATAATCACACTGAGGGGATGTCTTGGGTAGAGGCAGAATGGGAAAGGAGGCTAGCATTTAGGGAAAGCAGGGGAAGGGAAACTTCACGAATATGGCAAAGAAGAGGCAAGTTGGTCAGCATTCGTTGAGATCTGTTTTTCAAAAGCCAGCATTTCATAAAGACGGACTCCTTCGGACCGGCAATATGATACTCAGTGAAATAGGCGTGTGCCTTAAATGTTGACATGACTTTGCACTCCATCCCATCAATTTTACGATTTTTCTACAGACAGGTAATAAAATGGACCTGAAAATCTACTTATTAACCTTAAAGCATAGTTTAGAGAAGGATTCAAACTTGGGCAAATAGTCAATGATCTAGAGAAGTCTTTAAACAATTCTCAAGTTGAAACACAGCCCAGATCATTTACATTTAAAGTTTCTAATGTTTGAGGCCCAAATATCCATACACATGTTGGGGACCCTTAATCCAAAGTACTCCAAAGCCCAAAACTTTTTGAGTACTGACTTGTTACTAGTAGATAATTCTACACGTGATTTCATGGGGCAGAGTTGCAGTCAAAAACATAAGCCCACTAATATTTATACACTAAATACTGCTTAAAATTACCTCCAGGCTGACATGCATAAAGTGTACTTGAAACATAAATGAATTTCTTGTTTAGATCTGGTTTTATCCCCAAGATACATACAAAAAATATCTCAAAGTCTGCAAAAATACAAGCTCTGAAGCATACATCTGTTTCCAGCAATTCAGATAACAGATGTTCAACCTGTATTTAAAAAGTGTTTCCTGTGATTCTAATGCATAAACAAGATTGAGAGCTGTTAGTTTGCAGTGTTCTCAAAGCAATTACTGGGTCATATCAGCATCACCCGGAAAGTTGATAGATATGAAAATTCCTTAGTCCTACAGCCTCAGAAATGCTAGTTCCCTGGTTAACAAGCACTCTGGGTGATTCTGATTGACATTAAAGTTTGAGAACCATTATGCTAGAACACAGACTTCATAAGGCTTTAAAACTAGAGAGTGGGAATTCATAATATGTCTCCCCTTGTACCAGGCTTTTTATCAAAAAAGTCAATCATTAGTTACCCCTTATAACTCTGGATCCTTCTTAAAGTAAACCCTCACCTAGCTGCTCATGTAGTATTTCACAGAGTGCCACGCCCACCTGGCTTCTGCTCTTGGGCTGGTCTACAGTAATCAGGCAGCCCCCAAACTGTCATGAGAATGAGTTCACAGAACTGCACGAAAGCGTGATGTTAGACTTGTAAAGGATTTTTGAAAGACACATAAACTTTAAATGCTCAATTTACCCATGATTCCTAAGTCAATCTTCAACAACGTATCCCTAATATTTTGTATGTGATTGGTAATTATTTCTTCCTTTCACGTCTGAACACATTACTTAATAAAATCCACTAGTCGTTCAAGGTGACAGAGTCTTCCTAGCCATTGTATTCCTCGTGAAAATAGTCTCATCTCTACTTATAGTTCCAATGACTGGCATATAGCTTCCTTCTTTTCTTCACTGTCCTTAATTAGTATCATGTGCAGAAGATACTTAACGATTGCACAAAGTCATCCTTACTCCTAGCTTTGGGCTCATGGCTTATATTCCCCATTTGAGAGCATGGATGATTTTGCTCTCACCCGATAGTCTATTTTTTTTTTAAAATGAACTAAAAGTGGCTTAAGGATCTCAATGTATAAGGTTTTCTGAGAAAGGTGAATCACAGAATTAAAATTTCTCCCTTGGACTTTCCTGGTACCTATAAGAAGGTGTTCATTTTTTAAATCTTCACTTTCAGCCCCTAATATTTCCTGTTCTGTACATCTCTTGTTGTGTAAAGGCTGTTTATAATTCCTCCAAGAATTCCTGACCTGTTTTCATGATTTTTGTCCTAATAGATTCAAGCAGAGAAGAAAGGGGAAGGCATCTCTTTGGGTGTAGCTGTTAGCTACACCCAAAGACTCCTTAAAAGGGAGGTACAGAGTGTTTTGAGGATTGTTCACTGGATGCATTTCCCGTGAGCTGGAGCAAAAAGATGCTGAAATCAGAAGTTGGTTCATTCATTCCATATTATTTTACCAAGCATCTACTGTTGCTAGAAACTCAACCCTTAAGCAAGGGACACATTCTGCTTTAAGGAATTCACAGTCCATGGTGGAGCTGAAGGACCCCCTGAAGATGCATCCCTGATGGCTCAAGATGATGAGGGCTCTGGTGTTTTATGGGTCAGTGTCTTCCAGACAGGATTTATTAGGTAATTGGTTCAAAGAGTTACAGGAAGTGGAAAAGTTTCACAATATACCCTGTGCGAGGTAGAGAGCAGCGAAGTTGATAATGTGGTTCAATCTAAGAGGTCACAGCCTCACAATCAAGGTGGCTGGTTGTGCAGCCCCCAGTCCAATGCCAGAGCTCTGAATGCAGGTGGAATACTTCTGTGTGCAAATGCCAGAGATCGAAGGCTGAAGAGACTAGAGCCTGGTGTTCAAGAGCAGTAACAGGAAAAGTTTGTCCTCTTGGGAAAGAAGCAACAGAGAGCAAATTTTCTTTCTCTTCTGCTTTGGTGTTTCATCAAGAGCCCCAACAGACTAGAGGATACTCACCCATCAGAGCAGGTCTTTCCCATTCAGTTTGTTGATCCATATGTCAGTCTTCTCCAGGGAAAGTCTGCTACACACACACACACACACACACACACACACACGCACACACAAGCATACTTCACTTGCTTTTTTTCTTTTTTGTCTTTTTCGTTTTTACCGGTACCGGGGATCGAACTCATGACTGCCTGCTTGCAAGGCAGGCGCTTATGCCGCTGAGCTAAATCCCCAACCCCTTCACTTGCATTTTTACCAAGCATTTCTCAACCCATCTGGGCATGGTGATACACTCCAGTGCTCTGGAGGCTGAGGCAGGAAGATCACAAGTTCAAACTCAGCCCGGGGAACTTAGTAACTTTGCAAGATCATGTCTCAAAGCAAACATAAACACAAAAACAAAAACAAAAACCGAAAAGGACTGGTGGTGTAGCTCAGTGCAAAGGCCCTGGGTCTTACGGCATTAACACACTCTAATTGACAGCCCAACCCACCATTCACATGGAATGAGGCTAGGATTGCCTGACCTGATTTGGGGCAAGTGAGGAGGGGAGGGTCAAGCCTTCAAAAATGATGGATTGTAATCAGGTGATTGGATGGATGACAAAGGAGAGTATCAGCAGCAAAGATACAGATGCGGACAAATTTGGTCTGTTGGGAGCTGCAGGGCGTCCCACAGGGTTGAATCATGGACTGTGTGGGGCAGGGGTGAGGATGGGTCTGGGGGAATAAACAGAAGATCAGATCATATTGCAGGCTAAGTCTCTGAAGCCTTTCTGATTTGAAGTCCTGAATTCTCTCTACTGGTCAATCTGATATCTCTATTAGGGTATTTCCATAAACATTGTAAGTATAAGCACACACTGAACAGGACTTAGTTTTCTTTTCTGAATCTTCTCTCCTAATATCTCCTGCCCTAGGCGTGCTCAGCTGGAAAATAAGGAGCCATTCTTAACATCTTCTTCCACACGCCTCACATTCCATCCTTCACTAGGTCTTGTAATATTGAAGCACTAGAGAAAATCTCCCAAATATATAAAATCTGCTCTTTCTCTGGAAACTGCCACCAGATACCAGCGGTGCTGGCCCCCACACAAAGCCTCCTCCCCTC